ATTTATTCAATCCCCCCCCCCCCACCCCCCCAAGGTCCACCCATGCTACCAGATGCCACTACTGGTTTCTTTCTACTCCTTTTTGCATTTTACGTGCCTCAACTCATTAGATCTATTACACTGTCACTGGGGGTGTGTTTGATGCATTATTTTCTATAGAAAATGTCAATTTTTCACCTAAATTCTTACTTTGAAGTGTTTGATTATTATTTTTTTCATGGAAAATATTTTTCAACTTGTAAAAATGTGTCTAATTTTCCTTCTTTTTAAGGAAAACATTTTCTTTGAGGGGGAGTAGGTTTTTGTTTTCCTCAAAACAAGGAAACTATTTTATTTTTTAGGATATATTTTCCATGTCAATCAAACACACTCTTAGTTGCTGAAGAAGGCCTTTGATGATAAGTTTCCGCAAGTGAGCTTTTCTCTCTAGAGCACCATGGAGTAGCACTACCTGAAGAAACTGGGGAGTTTGTTTGGCATTTCTTTTCGAGCTCCAGAATCCTAAGCTTGTCTTTTGATATAAGAGTATATAATTCTAGCTGGGGTTTGAAGGACTGACATGGTGTTTTAAATTTTAACTGATGTGAATGGAAAGTGCTATATAAGAATACCATGTGGAAAGCAAAGGTTCAAGAATTATAAAATGACAAGAATCAATGTGTGTGTTAAATTATGCTTCATTCTCCTCTTAATTAATCGTGGTTTGACTAACTGCTTCTTTTGTGTATATTCATACAAATTCAGCCACGTGGCAGAATGAAGGCCCACGAAAGTGACGAAGTTTTTTTGAGAGTCAAATATTCTGATCGGCCATATAAAGTTAGGGATGACAAGATCAACTTTGTTTATGAAACGCTATGTTTGAGCCAAGATGGCAACATACATATTACTCATACAAAGTATGAGTTCATTTAATGCAAAGTTAAAGATAGGACATTAAAATCTTCGAAATATCACATTAACCCAACACTATGGTCGGCCAGCTATCGTGTTCTTGTGGAAGGTTGAATAGACTCATTAGTGTCCTTGCAAAATTTGGCTTAGATTCAACTTAGTGGTTGACTGGGAAACTCGAGGAGTTTTTATGTTATTAGTAATTCACTAATGTGTCGCTCGAATAATATTCCATTCAATGGTATTCAATCGAACATAAGTCGATGCTTTAGGTCTCATTTCTGCTGCTTAGCTCAATGCTGGAATATTGATTACTTATTCACCAAATATTTTAGTTTAAATAGCGATAAGAATTCGGTACTCTAGAATTCTAATTTTCTTGGATGATGGTTGGACTAATTCTCCGAATTTCACCCCTACATACGAAATTTCACTGTCCTCTATCTCACTCAAATGAATTGATTTTGAGAGCATTCCTTCAGTTTTTGACAACTTTCACTTTCAACTTGATTACGAACTTCAGGATTTTTAATTTGCTTCAAATTAGTTCGATAAAGAGGAATACTTGCTTCAATAAAGCTACTCCCATCAAAAAGCATTTTTCGCTTATTTGTGATTTAGGGTGTGTTTGATGGATATTATTGAGAAAATAATATATTTTAAATAGTGATATGATGGAAAATATGTGGTTAAAAAGTAAAAAAAAGTTATTGATGTGATGAAAAATATTATTTTATTGAAAAATGTATAATTGAAAATGAGTTGTGAAATAATGTATTTTGAAAGAATGTGTGTCAAACAGGGCTTTAGTTACTCTCTCTTTCGAGACGATTGTTTTCCATCTTTAGAGATAGTTAGAACTGTCTTTCAGGACAATTAAAGTTGTCTAGTGTACCGCAATTGTCTTGCGAAATGAATATTATTTTAGAAGCTTTTAACATTTGCCTTAAAAGTTTTGTGCCAACCAAATAGCACGTTCAAATTTCGTCAACCAAAAAGGATATAATTGACATTTGAGATGTAAAAGTGAACATTTTTTAGATTTCCCCAAAAAGTAACCATTTTTTTT